AAATGGAATTCAAATCTGAATTGGTATTAAATTTGGGGGAAATCAACCGGTCAAAATAGTGGGAATTATATTTTTTTTTTGGGATAATAGTAATGGTGAGGCTGAGAGTTAATGAACTTATAAAGAGCATAGGGAGGAGTAGGAGTATAAACTCAAGCTGGCAAAGGCTAATTTGCTGCAAATGCTATGAACATTGAACAGCGGAACGAGCAAAACCAAGAGGGTTAAGATACGTTTGTTTCTGAACTGGACAAAATTAAGCCACAGATGCAGAGGCATATTAAGACTTAATGAAAATTTCTCTCTGAAGTCTCTCAACTGAACACCCCGGAAAGGGTTATCTCAAGAGTCAAGATACTGTTCACTACCAGAAAGTTCTGCAAAAAGCTGACAAGAATATCAGAGGACGGGCTAACGTACCTTGTGTTGGTGAACATGTGGTTTCGCTCAGGTGATCACGGCAGAAGCAAACGAAACTATTTGTAGTCTGATTATACCCGCAAACCCCATCAGACTCTCTGCAATTTCTGCATTGATCATCTTTTACGTTCCATTGCAATTCAAAACCTCCCTTTAAAGCATCGTTCACAGTTAATGGGTTCACCTCTAGATTCTGAGCAGCTGTTTCATAAATTGGAACTATGACACTGCCATGGCATACCTCCGGGCGAGGATCGACCAGAACACTCCGAGTGGCGTATGACACGTCCATAGTGGCACCATTTATGGTACAATTTGTTAGAAAAATAAACACCGAAGTTGAGGGTAAGAAGCAACCATAGAATAGGGTCAGGTTCCTAAGGCCTGGGCCATAATCGAAGTAATTGAAGTTGATGGTGGTGTTTATTAGTTCCCTGGGACAATAACCATCCCAGAAATCCTCCCTAGCAACCTTAAGAATCTGCTGCTCAGGGTTTACATCAAAAATTCGCAACGTGTTTTGACTCATCGTGATCTTTCCTACACCATCTTCGCACTTCAGCTCGAACCCTGGTTGGCCACAGTAACTTGCACGGTTCATTCCCCAGAAAGGGTAACCGATATTTGCTATGCTTCCACATCTTATCATTGTCGAGCAGTTTGAGTACCGTGGATCATCGACGCACAAAGTAGTTGGAACTCTAATCAAGGCAAAAAGCAAGAAGAAGGGGGCCACAAGGGAAGATATTGGAAAAGAATTTGGATCCATTTTGTTGAAGTTGCAGGATGTAGGGTAGAATAAGTTTATGAAGGATGTTCAAACAGAATTAGATAACAGAGAGGAAATTGTGAGGAATGAGTTCCATTTCTTGTCTCTCATTGATAAGGCTTTTATTCAAGTGTCCAATAAGGGACGTTCTAAAATTCATGACGGAGAAAATTTTCTGGAATCTCTATTGGTCAACGTTGAAATTATTTATTCAAGCGTGAAATGCGTATAATACATTTCTAATCTTGAAATCTACAGAAAATTGCATCAGGTGCCTAGAATTCTAGCTTGTCTCTGTTAGCATATTGGAAAATTGGCTCTAGATCGAGTGTTGCCAAATTGTATTGATACATCTTTAGGAAAGAAGACAAACTTCATTAAGAAAATTAGAAGGAAGTAAATACTTTCTTATGAGTACGCAATAGGGACAACCGAAAATCTTACCAAAATGTATAAAGACTTTGCTTATATGTAGGATTGACCTCATATTTAATAGAGTATGAAATGAAGATCAGACCAATGAAATGGAACTTGACTTCTATATCACCGTATACGCACACCTACCCCTATCACAAGGATTCTGCTGATCACAGGCATTAGAGATTGACTGCAGCAGTTTCCAGAATTTCTTGTTCAACCTATGAATTTTTTATGACTACTATTTTTGTAAGAGATGGAAAGAAAGTATATTATAAAACATGAATATTTCATCTGTGTTCGGATTATGCTAAAGCTGCCTAATGATGGAAAGAGGGGAGGGGGACAGTTATTCAAGGAACAAGATCTCTATGAACCTATTAATCTTGATTCTAAATTATAGATAGCTGCCAATCAGGAAAAAGAAAGTCTCCTTGACTATTAGTATCATAAAACAAAAGAAAATTAATGGCTTTCGTAGGTACTTCATTTGGATTATCCTAAAACTGCTCATTTGTGCAAGTTAAGACTTCATCTCCAGGCAAAATCCCTCTGTTTAAAAGAGGACTTTTCGGAAATGATATATTGCAAAGAGGAAGACAGAATGACAGCAACTTTAACTATTTGGGTTGCGTTATGATTTTAAACTTGAGAGCTTACCATGGACAGAATGAATCAATTTGGACCTTCAGCTGGACAAATGTTGATGATCTTAATTTTTAATTGAGGTTGGAGGATTCAAACCTTGCTCTCTAGGTAGGAGGATCATGCATCAAGCAATAAGCCAAATGCTTATGTGCTTGATGATCTTAATTTTAAATGTTGATCAATACTGCTAATATAGTTTAATAATTACTGCATATCAGGCTTTGAATTTATTAAGATGAATAACTGTAGTTTTTTATTTCTAAATGATGTCATTTAATTTAAACGAAAAGCTAAATCTTCTGTTTGTAAAGAAATATTCTGAGGCCCCAGTCCTGCAAACCAAACAAAGCACCCTTGTTTTAGGGTGTAAGTTAGCCTCTCTCCCCGAAACTAGAAAATTATTC